CCGCTCCATCCTGCGCCGGCTTCACCCCACCCGCCCCTCTCTAGACTCTAGCGCAACGCCACCATCGGCCCACCTCCGACCCTACACCGTCGACCCCGCTCCTCCCCTCCATCGATTTGTCAGCAATGATGCTCCCCGGGGCAAACCAGACAACAGTCGCTAGCTGGGCCAAACCAGACAATAGCCGCTAGCTGGGCCAAATGGCCCCTACTGCCTGGGCTACTGCACTTTGAGGGCAGCTAGAGCGTCCATGTCAGCCCATTGCGCTCCGCCTAGGCTGGACCCCTTGAGGCCTGGACCTGGGCTACTGCCGTTTGCTGCAACCGTTCACTCCACCACGCATCCGCTCTGTCTCTGTCCCGAGAAAATTTCAATTATAGGATACCAAACAATGCGCTTCACAATTATAGGACTCCAATCATCGACTTCGTTAAAATGACCCTTGAAACGTTGGATTCTTATTTTAGATGACATTTGGCGTATTTCTTCACTTTGTTAATCAAAATACATGTATTTTGGCCCTCTTGTGACCCTTCTACCCTTCTCCTTTTGTATCATTGATCGATCGTACCAATTCATCTACCCGACGTTCCTCATTCCCTCCGAGACCGCCGCCGCCCTAAGCATCTCCACCGCCATTCCTCCTTCCCCTCCTCTCGACGCCGCCGTACCCTTCCCTTCCTCAACTCCCATGGATGGATCGCTGCCCAAAGATGATGATGGTCGCCCGATCGCCATGGAGGGCCAAGGAGCCACAGCCCTGACGGCACCGGCGGCACCGGCTGAGGGCCTGACTGCGTCGGTCGCGGTAGTTGATGGAGGCATTTCGCCGACAGTGGAGGCCTCTCCCGACACCATGGCTAGTGCTCTAGCCCTAGCCAGAACGTTGCTGCCCACTGTTCCTCTTCCGACAGTAGAGTACAACTTTCCTATTCTTGAAATGCAAAGGTATTGTCCTTTATGCTTTCTGTTTTTTTACCACGATAGTAGTAGACAGTATTTAAACTTGATATCACTTGTTTAGGTCCCAAGTAGATCATGTGGAAAATATGGAAATATTTGATTGGGATAGCATACAGATAGTGGAGACATATGATGACGAAGGTCGTATTGCACTTATGAGTGAGAATCAGATTTGTGAGCTTTTAGGCTTGACAGAGGAGGACACAACAAATATACTTGCACAGGGCTTTGATTGCTGAATGGATGAATAGGGGCATGATAATGAGCTTGGGCAAGATAATGATGGTGCTGCCATTCCTACTAGTGATGCCATACCAGGTGAAATGGTCATTTCATATAATAAGAACAACCCATCCATGGATTTAGGAACAGTGTACCCAACAATGGAGGAGTTCAAGATGGCAGTGCGGCAATTTGCCATCAATAAGGAGTTTGATTTAGGAACAGAGAAGTCATGTAAGACGAGATATAGGGCTTATTGCAAGTCTAGTGATGAAGATTGCCCTTGCCCTTGGAGGATAAATGGCACAGAACATAAAGGCCAAAGCACTGTGGAGGTGAATAAATTTCTTTTTCCTTTCATTAATTCTACTTTTCATGTAAATTAATATGAATCTCATTGATTTTTTGTTTTGTAGGTAATCGTCTTAGTCGATAAACATACATGTGTGTCTAGCATGGGGCAGATAACTACAACTCCAAATCTGAAGTGGGTAGCTAGCAAGGCTGTGAGTATCCTTAGAGATGATCCAAATTTCGGTGCTAAGGAATTGCAAAAGAAGTTGTAGACAGATCACAAGTGTCAAATTGCATATGACACTGTATGGCGGGTAAAGAAAGAGCTCTTGATGAGGTTTATGGCAAATGGGAAGAGAGTTTTGAGCTGTTGTTTAGGTGGAAGGCCGAGGTAATGAAGTGGTGCCCCGGGAGTGTCGTTGAAATTGAGGTACTTGAGGTGGATGGTCAAGTATATTTCCACCGTTTTTTCTGTGCTCTTAAACCATGCATTGATGGTTTCTTGGAAGGTTGTAGGCCTCATTTGAGCATAGATGCTACAACACTTAATGGAAGGTGGAATGATCACTTGGTCGCAGCTATAGCAGTTGATGGTCATAATTGGATGTATCCACTCGCTTATGGCTTCATAGCTTCTGAAACAACAGACAACTGGACTTGGTTCATGGAGCAATTAAAGAAGGCAATAGGTGATCCTCCAGTCCTTGCTGTTTGTTCTAATGCTTGAAAGGGATTAGAGAATGCAGTGAAGAATGTATTCCAAAATACAGAGCAAAGAGAATGCTTTTATCATCTTGTCAAAAAATTCCAGAAGAGATTTAGAGGGTTTGGACAGATATATCTTGCGGCAAGGGTTTACAGAGAAAACATATTCTATGACAATACAACAAAAATGGTAAGTGAATCAGCAGAAGCAGTGAAATGGTTACAGACCAATCATAAGCTATTATGGTATATGTGTGCTTTCAATCCAGAAATTAAGTGTGACTACATAACTAGTAATATTGCTGAGTCATTTAATAACTGGATTAAAGACCATAAAGACTTACCTGTTGCTGACCTTGCTGATAAGATTAGAGAAATGATCATGGTACTTTGGAACAAGAGAAGAAATATTGCATACAGGCTACCTGAAGGCAGGATACTTCCAGCTATTATGCATCAACTAAAGGAAAATACTAGAGGTTTGGGACACTTGAAAATTGTATCATGTTCTAATTGGAGTGCAGAGGTGTGGGACCATAGCAGTAGAGTTGAGAGGCATATTGTCAAGTTACACCAAAGGACATGTACTTGTCTTGAATGGCAGCACACTGGTAAACCATGTCAACATGTATTGGCCTATGTAACCCACCAACGGGGAGTTGACTTTGAACAGTTTGTGCATGACTATTACTCGGTGAATAGATTCAGGGCTGCTTATGGTAGAGAGATTGAGCCGATGACAAACAAAACACAATGGCCACAAGTTGACCTACCATTTTTAGTTGGTGCACCTCTTGCTAAATTACATGTTGAAAGACGAAGGAAACTAAGAAGGAAAGGATGGATGAAAGGTGACCACAAGAAGAAAAGTTTCAAAGATGGTGAATATACCAACGAGGGTGAAGGTGAGAAGGGATGTGACAACGATAATGCTCCAACAAATGGAAAGAGAAAGAAGATGATCAGATGACCTATGACTTACAAAAAGTGTGAACAAAAAGGTCACAAGCAAGCTAGTGTCAAGTGCCCACTCAATGGGACATCAAAAAAGTGGTAACTACTGATTTTCATTATCAAGAAATTTGAATGAAAAAGTCAATAGTAATTTATTTGTTTACTTGTAGGAAGCGTAGGCAACCTAGGAAGAATGTTACAAAAGCTACACCAGCAGAACCTAGCACCTCACGGAGGTCGACTAGAGAAGAAATCCTACGGGATAGTCTAGGAAAGGTCACTAGAAGGTAAGAAAAATTAACACATTTACCGTACATTAAATCTTTCCATACATCTAATTGTCGTATCGTATTTTATGTGCAGCAAGCTTACAATGTTATTAGGAGAGGGCACATCTTCACAAACCGACACCACTAGTCCCATGAGGATGCCTACCGCGGCAGCAAAAAAAAAGATGACTCAAAAGAGAAAGCTACACATTGGATGAATTATTTTATTTGTGATGAGATGTAAACTCATGCTTTATTTTATATGACTTGGATCTCGTTTGGAACTAAATTATGGTCTTCTGAGATGAACTTGTTTATGCTACAATCATGGTTTTATGAGATGAGCTTATTTGTTCGCAAGTTGCCTTATCTTTTATTGAAGTATCAGTTGATTTTACTGACCACTTAGATTAGCTTCGAGATATTCATTTTTAGAAATTTGCTCAAATTTACAGACTGAATGCAAATACGATAACCTCTATTACTTGAAAACTAAAGCCAACATTTGGTCAATTATTATTACTGAAAATGCAGACTCTCAAATGAACACAACTAAAGGCCTCTGCTGGCTATAGTCCTGCACGCTACACCAAGCAGGGGTCCCAAATAGAGTCAGTAACCCAAGCAACCTCGAAACCACCATGAGAACGGGGACCTCTTTCAGTGGCTACTTGGCCGTTCAGTGTGGGAAGTAGTCCTCATGGCGTATGGCGCTGCACGGAGAAGTCACCGCGCGTCTTTGGTGTCGGAGGTCATGAGCGTCTTGCGAGAACATGTGCGGCGTCCGTCGGCGAAGCGGCTTCATGGCGGCCCCGTCCTCGCCATCGCGACCCGCATCCTCGTCCTCTCGAACCCGTGCGCCGCGCCCGCCTCTCCGCGTCGCCGCCGATGTGCTCGAGGTGGCCCTGCGGCAGGTACAAGACGGCGCTGCCCTTGCGCGGCAGCGGCGCGACGTGTCCCACGCACGCGTGCCACAGCTCCAAGCACACGGCGCCACTAGCCCTAGCGGCCACAGGCGGCGCCTCAGCCTCCGCCTCCACCTCATCCTCCTCCTCCACGGTGTTGAGGTCAATGCCCGTCATGGCCCTTTGGCCGGCACAAGTAAAGAAATTGGCTCCCGGAAGGAAGGAGCAGACGACGGCAAAGAAAGCGGCCGGCAAGGGAGGGATGGAGCTGAGGAAGCGAGTGAGGAGTATCCAAGTAGGGACAGAAGGATCACAAGAGAGCCAAAATACATATATTTTGATTAACAAAGTGAAAAATGTGCCAAATATTTCAAAGGTCATTTTAACGACGATCGGAGTCCTATGATTGCGAATCACGTTATAAGTCCTATAATTACAATTTTCTCCTCTGTCCCCCTCTCTCTCTCTCTCTCTGCGATACCGCCGCCGCCGCCGCCGCCGCTGCAGCCCTACGCCGGGTGCCGAGCCCTTTCCGTCTCTTCGCCGGCGACGATCACTCACCAGGTATTCCCACCCCTTCTACTCCCTGCCTGCTGTGCCAGTCCGCCCTTGCTTACTTCGAACTTTTTGCAAAAGCCATCGGGTGGTCCGCCCTGGCCGCAGCAGCCAGCAGCAGCAGGAGGACACCATGAAGCTTGACGTGAACGCCCTTCGCTACCTCTCCAAGGACGACTTCCGCGTCCTCACCGCCGTCGAGATGGGCATGCGCAACGTAAGATCCCCAATACCCTGCACCGACATCGCATCCTGTTACATGTTAAATCAATCGCCGGTTTCCGCGACTTAAGTTAGTTTTTTTTTTTTTGCTTTGGACTTGTCACAGCACGAGATTGTTCCAGCAGAACTTGTCGACAGGATCGCCCGACTGAAGTAAGATTATGTTTTGTTCGCGGTCCTGCAATCTGTGGCTATGCTTGTGGTTGCTAGTTTTAGATGTTTTTTTTTTGAGAACATAGTTTTAGATGTTAACTGGTAGTATGTTTGCTGTGATATCGAAATCATTGTTTTGGGATGTCATTGTAATTTTAGCATGTTGATTGATGATCGGAGGTAGTACTGCTGGTGTTTGGACCTTGCACAGTATGCAATTTCTTTAGTTCTGGTTTGCTATTCTACCTTGTAGCATGAAATCTCCATCTTTTTGCTTATCCTTTCAACAGGAAAAAACAAAGATATGTTAATGTTTTGTATAAACATCAATATGCTGAAAACAATTAGTCTGAAAACACGGAGGCTTAGTGCAGCTAATGTTACTCTTAATGATGTTTAATGTTACTCTTAATGATGTTTATTTTTGGTCTAACCATTTAAAACAAATGTCAAATGAAGTTATTGTTTGCTGAGTGGAAAGAATTTGTACTCTATCTCAGTGGAATATGTTCTTATGCTTTATGAATTTAGGCATGGAGGTACATACAAAGTGCTGAGGAATCTTTTGAAGAACAAGTTAGTGCATCATGATGCCACTAAATGTGAGTCGTTGACAGTTAATCATGATTATAGAATGTTGGGTTGCTAGCGCAGTAGCACTTAGCTCCAAGTCTTTATTGCTTTATCGGTTTTGTTCCATACAGACGACGGATATCGGCTCACCTATCTAGGATATGACTTCCTTGCCATCAAGACTTTAGTTAATCGAGGAGTTTTTGCTTCAGTTGGCCGTCAGATCGGTGTTGGAAAGGAGTCTGGTATGTTGTGTTCATAGTGTGTGTTCTTTTGTTTTATAAGTAATGTGGCAAAGGCACATGAAGTTGTTTCTAATATCTCTGTGATATGCAGATATATTTGAGGTTGCCACAGAGGATGGCACAGTACTCGCCATGAAGCTTCATAGGTTGGGCAGGACATCTTTTAGGGCTGTGAAATCTAAACGTGACTATCTAAGGCACCGAAGGAGCTTTAACTGGCTATACCTCTCACGACTTGCAGCCTTGAAGGAATTTGCCTTTATGAAGGTCCTTTTTTTTCTCATTCTATTTATTTTAAGTATATCTGAGCTATGTGAAAGGCTATGTTGTTGTTGTTGTTGTATATCTGAGCTATGTGCTCTTTTCATTTTCCTTTTTGTTTGGTTGATCCTTCTGCTTATATCTCCAGGCTTTAGGGGACCATGGTTTCCCTGTTCCAACTGCTGTGGATTGCAATCGGCACTGTGTGATCATGTCACTTGTGCAGGGATATCCTCTGTAAGCATATATCTGTCAACTCATATTAGTTGAATAGTATATTCTGTCAAGCAGATCCTGATACAAGTTGCTTTATGCTCTGTAGTGTTCAAGTGAAAGAGTTACAAAATCCAGATGATGTTTTTGACACAATTCTTGGTCTTATAGTTCGTTTGGCAGAGCATGGACTGATACATTGTGACTTTAATGAGTTCAATATCATGGTATCTCTTCCTTTTCCTTTCCTTGTTTGTGTTGATTTATAAGTTTGAAATCCTTCGTAGAAGTAAAACTTATCTGGATAAGATACTATGGAACAAGACTTTTTTTGGTGGCAAACACATGAACTGGATCCATTTGTTTGAATAATTTCTAGTTGCAGCTTGCCAGCACTTAGTTTTGTGATATAGTAATATAATGATACTACATATGATAATATTTTTTATATGTTGGTGTATAGTTAAATTCATTGATACCAATGTCATGCAGATTGATGATGATGAGAAAATTACGGTTATTGACTTTCCACAGATGGTGTCTGTTTCTCATCGCAATGCTCAAATGTATGTAGCTTACTCAGATAACTAATGTGGCAGTGTCTTGTATTTTTTTTAAATGAGTTTTGCTTTTGCAGGTTTTTTGACCGAGACATTGAGTGTATCTACAAGTTCTTTAACAAAAGGTTTATATTATATGCAAGAAAGCTTCAAATCATCCTAACTCTGTAGAATCTTTTTCTTATTGGGATTCCTTTTCTTCCTGTTAGGTTCAATCTGACGTCAGAGAAAAATGAAGAACAACCTGGATCTGAAAGTGATGATGAAGGGAATAGCAGGCCTTCCTTTTTGTCTGTGAAAAAGACTGCTGGTTCCTTGGACAAGGAACTAGCTGCCAGTGGATTTACCAGGAAAGAGCAAGTGGAGATGGAGAAGGTAGGTCAGATGTTTCTGCAAATTTGTTATTCATGCATACATTTGTAGATTGTTTTCCAGCTTAGTTCTCTGATACTGCTTTTTTTTTTGTGGCAAACTTTCCTACAGTACATTGAGGAAGATGCTGAAGGACATGATTCCAGCTCAGATGATGAGGATGACGACGACGATGACGAGGTCGGTGATGCTGTGCCTTTGGTTTCCTTGAAGATAGACCAGCAGGTACGTCTGCCTAGCAAGTTAATTTGGATATGTGCAGACTGTACCGTTGGTCAGGCAGTCAGGCTAGTCTCTAGTAGTCTAGTTAGAAGTCACTGTTATTGAAGTGTATTTTGGCTCTGTCTCTCAGGACGGTTCTGATGAGCCTGATTGTAATCTTGCCTCAAGGGATTCAGATGTGCCTGGAACTTTTTCTGAAGAGGTTAGTCATCTATCCATCAGCATCAGACTGAATAAGCAAACTTTTGATGCTATTTTTCTTACATTTTTTCACTGCGCAGAATGGAACAAGGTGTAGCGGTGAGAACAGATTGGAAAGTCCTCCCTCAGGTGGCAATGGAGAGGCTATGAAACTGCTTCAATCTGGGTCCCAGGAAGATGACGATAATGATGATGACTCGTCAGAGGATGCTGATGAAGAAGAAGATGCTGAGCTCACGAAACAATTGAACAAGCAAAGGAAAAAGGCAATAGCAGCTGCCCATGGGGGGCGGAGAAGGCCAGTGTCATCCAGGAACGCCTACAAGGACAAGGGTAAGGGCACCATGAACTCCAAGATCCAGAGGCAGGCGTGCAAGTGGTGATGATGGATCAATGTCTGCAGTGCTTGCCTCTTGCGGCAGTGGTAAAATAGATGAAGTGTAGGATTTTGTATGGCTGCAGAACCGAGGGACCGCTGTACTGAATCAACTCCGGCTTTATTTTTTTTATTATGTTGTATACCTTTTGTATGCACACGGTTCTGATGAGATCATGGTGGCGCTTCTGTTTATCCCAACTCAATATTTGAGAATACAAGTTTGGCAGCTGTCTATTTCCTTGCTTCAGCACCGTCTGTTGCTTTTTCATTTTCTTTTTCCTTCTTCCTGGCCTCAGATAAACAAAGCAAATAGCAATTGTCCTTTTATAAACAAGTTAAGGCTCATGTTAATTAATAAATACTAAAAATTAAGGCTCCCTTTTTTGGTACAATCCTATGGAACTACAGCGCCGTCTGAAGCAACAGACGGCATCAGACAATTGCTACTTGCAGGTATTTCATGAGCTTTAACTTGTTTATTATCTGAGGCCCTAAACCTGTCGTCTCCATCGGACTCTCGCCGCCGCGCCATGGCGGCGGAACCGCCAGAGCCCGCATCCTCGCTGGATGCCCAGCTCGCGGCCTCTTCCTCTTCCGCCGCAGCCGGCGTAGGTGGCCCCAATCCGTGCTGTGCGAAGGTAGTTGACCCTCCCTCTTCTCACCATTACGCCGCATCCTGTCTTGTTCGGTTCTTGTCTTCTTCATTGGCGTGTCTTCTTTTTTTGGGGTGTTTTCTTTCTTTTGCCCGTTTGGGTGGGTTCCGCAGCTGTGGAAGAAGTACCAGAAATTGGAGACGGCGCTGCGGGAGGCGGTGAAGCTCCTGCAGGCTGAGAACGAGAAGCTGCACAAGGACAACTCGGAGCTCAGCAAAAGTTCCTAATGTGTTCCCTGATTTCTTTTCCCAGTGTGCTGCTTTCTTTGTTGTCATTTGCTGCATTGCGATTCTAGTTGCAAATAGAAAGAAAAGATCACCCTAAGTATGCAGAGGTAATGTACATGTTCAGACTGTACGCATTGTATCTAGTAGTTCTTGACCTTCGTTTTGTGTAGTTATACTGTTGATTTTTGTGATTTGTGCTGAAAGGCAAGTATTTTGGCTATTCCTTTTTCATACCTAGGCTGCACTCAAAGAAAGTGAACTTTTTTCTTATGAAAAACTACTTCTATAAAGTATCTAATACTCTAAGTTCTAATTTCATAGCATGCTAGTAGCATGCTAGCAGGAATTTTAGCAGAAGGTGCCTATCACATCACAGAGAAGATGCCTTTCAAAGTATGTCTGATTTCTCATTAATCCTTCATGTATTCGTTAACATCATGTTTGATTTCTCTTCAATGCATCGTTTATTTGTTAGCATCTATTAACCCCTCAATGTTATCCTTACTGTAGTACACTCTCAAACAGTTGATTATGTAATTATTGATGAACAGTTATGTGTATCATGCATGCATCTTGAAACCATTCTTAAGTGTACCTTGCTTTAATGTTGTATTCTCTCTGTTTTCTCTGTGATGAATAGCGTGCAAGGAGGAACGCCTCCGAGGTGATTCAGCAGAAGCAGTTAGGGCGACTGAGTCTGATGCCAGAGATCTGCTGGAAAAGGAGATAATTGAATTAAAGACACAGAACTCAAGTTTGAAGCAAACACAAAATACCTGCAAAAATAATGATGAACTTTTACGCATCTCTGAATTGGAGGAAGAAAATAGAAAGCTCATACAGGTTTTAGGGAAAGAAAGGAAGAAGATTACTTCTGAGAAGAAAAATTTTGAAGAAGAAAAGTGCGAAACTCTAGAAATGCAAAGGATATTGAAGTCAGAAACACAGAAGTCTGAAGAGTATAGAAGAGTTGCTGATATGGAAAGAAAAGCTGCCAATGATTGGAGAGCATCATGTGAAAGGTCGAGGAGTGAAGCAAATGAAATCAGAGCACACTTCACTGCTCAGGTTAAGAAAACAGAAGAAACACTTAAAAGGGCCGAAGCGGAGAAGCAGAAGGTAGCCAGAGAAAAGAAACGTGCTGATTCAGAGAAATCATTATCTGAAAAGAACAAAGCACTTATTGAAGTTGAAAAGAAAAAAGTAACGGAACAGAAGTGCAGTGCTGACAATTTATTTGCAAAGTTAGAGGAGCAGAAGAAACTCAATGAACATTTGCGAACTAGCATACAGGTTGAAACAAAGAATGCAATAGAAGAGAAAAAACGAGCAGACCATTTGTTCCAGAAATTAGAAGAGGTGAGAAAACAGACTGAATATTTACAGAGGAAGGCAAATGAATTCTCTGCAGGTAGAGATGTAATTTCTCCTGGCAAGTATGGGCGGCGACATGTTGATAGAACTTCTGAGAGTGCAAATGTAAAGCTTCTCAAAGAGAAGCTTAAGCTGAAGAAAGAACAACTAAAGCATGTAAAGAATGCGTCCAAGCTAGATAAAGCAAAAACTGCTTTAATAAGAAGAGAGCTTCAACATTTCAAGCAAGACTGGATGCAGCTACTGAGTCGGTTCAACATGCTGGATGACCACCTTGCTCGCGGTGTTGAAGGTATTCATGTCTTAACAGAGGTATGTATCCTGCATGCCAGTTATTACTGTCTTCATCTATGTTTGTGAAGGTAATTTTGGTAAAAACAAGAATATCTTAGCAATAGGTAATAATAGTTCTGACATCCTAATAGAACAATGAACTGTTCTTCATCTCTATGCAATTTGGCATTTGTTCATGGACTTTCTTTCTTTTAATACTAATAAAAAATTGATTTGTTAATCAAATCATAGGGGGACGGTCATTCCATCTGAAATAGCACCTTTTCTCAGTCTTCATTTTTGTCCTAAAAAATCTTCTTTGTTTTTCAAAGTATATGAGTGGGCCAGTGGGGGAAGCGTCATAAGGCCTTCCACAGCGTGAGTGGTGCTTGAAACTGTACAGACGCTTGAAACTGTACAGGCTAGCCACGCCACAGTGATGCCTGGTGCAATTCCTACTCACATTGTGCAGCCTCACTTCTTCCCATTTTAACATGCCTCACAACAGTACAAAATGGCACGACGACAATCAATGCCCTGCTGACCTTTCAAGCCATTCCATGTCTGCATGTGGGCCCTTGATTTTGTTTAGTCTTCAAGCATTGGCTCCTATATGAGCCGCTCCCAGAAATTTTGGTGTGGGCATCGGTTGTCGTAGTGGTAGGAGCGATGCTCAAATCGTCTCTCTACTATTAGGGCTTCACTTCAAGCGTACACTGCAAAAGGCCTAAGATGTGCACTTGCTAGTACCACGAGTAAAAGCTTGCATATTCCTCTCTGATCACTAGCCCATGTCATTTCGTACTTGGGGTGGTTGACAAGATTATTTTTTCTCATCGAATTCCATATAGCCTGCTAGATCATACTAAAAAAATCTTATTGCATTAGAGTATTTTACGTAATTGTTTCATGCTGATGGTTTTCTGTTCATAGTATCATCATTTCTTTAGGAAGCTGGCTGTTTCCACACACTGTTGCAGAAATTTTATCATGCTACTTCTTTAGTCTGATGATAGTATCACCATTTCTGCAATTTTTTCCTGGCTACTACACAAAAAAAACTATAAAAATAGAAAATTTGGGACTCTTAGGTGAAGGGTGTACCTTTTAAGTGAAGCACTCCATGATATTTCTCCAAGGCTACAGGCCCACCCCGCAGACAATGTGGCAGCAGCAACAACAACAACAACAACAAAGTCTTTAAGTCCCAAACAAGTTGGGGTAGGCTAGAGTTGAAACCCAGCAGAAGCAATCAAGGTCCGGGCACGTGAATACCTGTCTTCCAAGCACTCCTATCTAAGACTAAGTCTTTGGGTATATTCTATCCTTTCAAGTCTCCTTTTATTGCCTCTACCCAAGTCAACTTCGGTCTTTCTCTGCCTCTCTTCACGTTACTATCCTGGCTTAGGATTCCACTACGCACCGGTGCCTCTGGAGGTCTCCGTTGGACATGTCCAAACCATCTCAACCGGTGTTGGACAAGCTTTTCTTCAATTGGTACCACCCCTAATCTATCACGTATATCATCGTTCCGAACTCGATCCCTTCTTGTATGACCGCAAATCCAACGCAACATACGCATTTCCGTGGCACTTATCTGTTGAACATGTCGTCTTTTCGTAGGCCAAGATTCTGCACCATACAATATAGCAGGTCTAATCGCCGTCCTATAAAACTTGCCTTTTAGCTTCTGTGGTACCCTTTTGTCACATAGGACACCAGATGCTTGGCGCCACTTCATCCACCCTGTTTTGATTCTATGGCTAACATCTTCATCAATATCCCCGTCTCTCTGTAGCACTGATCCTAAATATCGAAAGGTATCCTTCCTAGGCACTACTTGACCTTCCAAACTAATATCTTCCTCCTCCCGAGTATTAGTGCCGAAATCACATCTCATATACTCAGTTTTAGTTCTACTGAGTCTAAAACCTTTGGACTCCAAAGTCTCTCGCTATAACTCCAGTTTCTGATTCACTCCTGTCCGGCTTTCATCAACTAGCACTACATCGTCCGCGAAAAGCATACACCAAGGGATGTCCCCTTGTGTGTCCCTTGTGACTTCATCCATCACTAAGGCAAATAAATAAGGGCTCAAAGTTGACCCTTGATGTAGTCCTATCCTAATCGAGAAGTCATCCGTGTCTCCATCACTTGTTCGAACTCTAGTCACAACATTGTTGTACATGTCCTTAATGAGCCCGACGTACTTCGTTGGGACTTTATGTTTGTCCAAAGCCCACCACATCACATTCCTTGGTATTCTATCATAAGCCTTCTCCAAGTCAATAAAAACCATATGTAAGTCCTTCTTCTCCCTATACCGCTCCATCACTTGTCTTATTAAGAAAATAGCTTCCATGGTTGATCTTCCAGGCATGAAACCAAATTGGTTCATAGAGACCCTCGTTATTGCTCTCAAGCGATGCTCGATAACTCTCTCCCATAGCTTCATAGTATAGCTCATCAATTTAATTCCCCGGTAATTAGTACAACTTTGAATATTCCCTTTATTTTTGTAGATCGGTATCAATATACTTTTCCTCCACTCATCAGGCATCTTGTTCGATCGAAAAATATGGTTGAACAGCTTTGTTAGCCATACTATAGCTATGTCCCCGAGGCATCTCCACACCTCGATTGGGATACCATCCGGTCCCATCGCTTTACCTCCTTTCATCCTTTTCAATGCCTCTCTGACTTCAGATTCTTGTATTCTCCGCACAAAGCGCCTATTGGTGTCATCAAAAGAGTCATCTAACTGAAAGGTTGTGCCCGTATTCTCACCATTGAACAATTTGTCAAAATACTCTTGCCATCGATGTCGGATCTCATCCTCCTTCACCAAGAGATGCTCTCTTTCATCCTTAATGCACTTAACTTGGTTGAAGTCCCTTGTCTTTCTCTCACGAACCCTAGCCATCCTATAAATGTCATTCTCTCCTTTCTTCGTACTCAAATATTGGTAAAGATCTTCGTACGCTCTACCCTTTGCCACACTTACAGCCCGCTTTGTAGTCTTCTTTGCCACCTTGTACTTCTCTATGTTGTCCACACTCCTATCATGGTACAAACGTCTATAGCATTCTTTCTTCTCCTTAATAACCCTTTGGACTTTCTCGTTCCACCACCAAGTATCTTTAGCCTCGCCTCCACTTCCTTTGGTTACTCCACACATCTCTGAGGCCACCTTCCGAATGTTGGTTGCCATCTTCTCCCACATGTTGTTTATGTCCTCTTCTTCCTTCCAAGAGCCCTCTTTGATAATCCGTTTCCTGAATACCTCTGACGTCTCCCCTTTCAGTTTCCACCACTTTGTTCTTTCAATTTTAGCTTGTTTATCCCTACGGGCACGCACCTGAAAACGAAAGTCTGCCACTAAAAGCTTATGTTGAGAAACAACACACTCCCCTGGTATCACCTTGCAACCCAAGCATGCTCGTTTGTCCTTTCTTCTTGTGAGGACAAAGTCAATCTGGCTAGAGTGTTGTCCGCTACTGAAGGTCACTAGATGAGATTCTTTCTTTCTAAAGACAATGTGGCACCAGCCCGGAAAATAGAACTACTCAAACCTGCTTTATATTAGCAGATAGGGGAAATGTTGCAGTAACCACACCTGTTTTAAAAGGGGAAACATTGCGAAAAGGGTGATTCTCAACATAATGGTAAGAATCTGTGAAACAGAGGGGGGATTTCTTCAATGTTGCGGGGGCTGTGACTTCACATGGCAAACATGATGTACTTTTTGTCTTTATGTTTTCTGCGAATGGAATGCTGGGTCAAACTAATATATCACTTGTGTAATGTAATGTTGATATCATGATATGCATTGAAATGCCACAATATTGGGTTTCCCTCTAGATCACTGTACAGTGACTTTGAATGAGCAGTTATAATTCATAAATTATGTTGTAGTAGATATCACCTGCGTATTCATTGATCTTGTTCCTGATATATTGCATATGGTTTTTAAAGGTCATTTATACTTGTTATGTTCTATCTATATACTGATGTGATTACTGGCATTGTCTCATATTTACAGTTGAATCAGCATCCGGAGATACGTGGCTTTGAACAGAAGCTGCTTCCTAATGATTCAGTTCCTGCCCCATATTTTGGGTTGCAGGCTGGGATAGTTCCATTTGGCTCTTCTATCCCAAGTGAATACACTTCATATCAGTTACCCAGAGAAAGCTGCTCACGACCAATCTCAGGTACTAGTTCTCACAGAACAAAGTCAAAAAGTCAGCACAGATCTTCATGTCCAACATCCATATCTGATGAAAAATTCATGGGCTCACAGGGTAAGGATAGCCTATTTCTCTCATCGACAGATATCAGAAAAAAACAGAATTCAGTTGTTCCCGAGCTGCCTCCTAAAGTTAGTAATGATAGAGCATTGCCTCCACAAGCATTGAGGATACCCTTGTCTTGTGGTACGGAAGTTACAGATAAAAGAGAAACACATTGTGGTGATAGGAAGAGAAAAAGGACCAAAAGGTCTCCAGAACCCTCTGCTTATCTTCCCTCTAAAAATGATTTGCTGCATTTGAAATCAAAGGGGCATGCTGCCACTTCAAATGTTGCATTAGCATTTGATGATGATCCTTTGTGTCTGCAGCAAGGAAATAACACCATGTGTGTGACTGAAGGTGACATGGAAAATCATAGGAGAAAATATCTTGTTGTCTCTGATAGAGCTCCTCCACTCAGTTTCCCTTCTAAAGTGTTTTCTTGTGGAGGAAATGGTTGTGCTAGTAGCAAGTTTGCTTCATTGATCCCCTTTGAGGAAATGGTCAGGGAAAACTGCTTAAAGTTGCTCAATTTGGATGATGATGCAGATGAGGAAAAGTATAGAAAGGCAAAGGAGAGACCCCTTTCACCAAACCTGACCGTTATTCGACCCTGTAGAACTAGGGTGCCTACATATGCAGAACCTCACGGTTCGGGTAGATCTCTCAACGATTGTCCTGCCTTAGGATCTGATGCCATTGATTACAAGACAAGGTCCAAAGCATTGGAAGTTAAAGAGCCTGCAATTCAGAAATCAACTCAAAATTGCATCCAGCTTGATCCATCGTCAAATATAATCGAGTGTAGTGGCATTGCTAAACCCCTTTTCGCAAATGATAAATCCAATGCAGCTGTCAATGTTTCTTGTAGCACCAGTTTGGTTGTAGTACCGATGAGCGCTTCTTTTGGCAGCCTTTTGCATGAGGATGTGGCTCAGAATTCTGTAGCATCTTCTGCTGAGGGATTAGACAGTATAAGCAGACCAGTGTTATCAGGAAGTACCTGCAGTGGTCATTCAAATTCCATTTTACATTTATCCAAGGAAGTGCCTATCAAAAACAGCTCACATCAGATTTGTGACTGTAGAATAACACCGCACACCCTAATAAGGGGGTGGCCTTCATTATATAGCCTAATAGGCTAGGGTTACAATGTACACAGGCCAATGGGCCATACACCCAATATGGGCTGTTATAATTACATTCTAACACCCTCCCTCAGTCTAAGCGGGAGTGTCACGAACACAAAGACTGGACCTAAAGTCAGTGAACAACTGTACAGGTAACCCTTTGGTCATAATGTCCGCGAACTGATGAGATGATGGAACATGGAGCACCCGAACCTGTCCCAAAGCAACCTTCTCACGGACGAAGTGAATATCTATCTCAATATGCTTCGATGCGGCGATGATGAAGCTGGATTGGCGGTCATGTAGACACAGCACTAACATTGTCGCGATGAGACGATCGTCGCGCCGAAGAGATGGGTGCGTGGAGCTCACAAGAAAATCGACGAAGCCAACAAGTCTCAGCCACAGCGTGTGCAACAACACGATACTCAGCCTCCGCACTCGAACGAGAGACCGTAGTCTGTCGTTTAGAGGACCAAGAGACTAAATTGTCGCCGAGGAAGACACAAGACCACAAGTGGAGCGCCGAGAGTTGGGACAACAAACCAATCAAAGATCGGAGTAGGCGATCAAGCTTGTGATGTTTGCTGTGCCGATGTGAAGCCCGTGGATGTGGTGCCTTTGACATATCGCAGACACGCTTGAGCATCGCAAGATGAGGCTCTCGCGGTCGTGCATGAAGAGGCAAACTCTTTGAATCGCATAGGCAAGGTCCGACGACGAGTCGGTGGAGGTCTTCAGAGAGCACCGCGAGGTGCGCAGATCGAAAGTGACATCCGCCACCGGGAGCGCCGTCCATAGCCGAGAGCTTGGCACGAGTGTCAGAGTCGCCATAGAGTGACACTCGACCATCGGCGCTATTGGAGCAAGTCCAGTCCACAGCATCTTGGCCGAGACAGAAGAGGCCATCAGCAGAACGCGTGACAGAGATCCCGAGGAAGTGATGAAGATCCCCGAGATTTGTCATGGCGAACTCGGAGTGAAGAAGCTCGGTGAGGCGTCGAAGAAGCGAGGTCGACGAGGCTGTCAGGACGATGTCGTCGACGTAAAGTAGCAAGTAAGCGATGTCGATCCTTTGTGTAAACAAAGAGGGACGACGGAGGCGAAGGCGTGAAGCCGCATCGCCGGATGAAACCGGAGAACCGCTGGTGCACGCTACGGGCGCCGCTTGAGTCCGCACAAGGACTTTTTGCAGGAGGCAAACATGGTCGAGCCGCCGGTCGATTTAAGCCGGGCGGCTTGCCGACGATGAGACCGTCTCGTTCAAATGGTCGTGGAGGAAGGCGTTCTTCACGCCCGGTGATGGATCGCCAGAACGAGAGGCGGCGATCTCGAGGACGACCCGGATGGTGGCGGTTTGACAACCGGATCGAACGTCTCGTCGTAGTCGATGCCGTCATCGCTGCGAGAACCCCACGAACGGCCCATCGGCTTTATGACGAGCCGTAGAGCCATCAAGATGATACTTGTGCTTGAAGACCCACTTGCCGGTGATGACGTTGGCTCGAGGCGGTCGAGAACGAGACGCCAGTGCCATTGTCCATGAGCGCTTTGTATTCTTGACCATCGCCGACGCCAATTCGCAGACGGCGAAGCGTGGCGCGAGAGTTGCTCGGCAACGGAGAAGCGACCGAGGAGGCCGCGGTGAAGCCGTGCATTGCGCATGGGCGGGCGGCAGGGAACCTGTCTCGGGAACGAAGTCGCGCGCAGAGGCTCTCGCGGTCTTGGAGCTCGGGGCAAAGACGCTCGCCGCCGCATGATGGGGCAAAGCGCCGCCGGCGGCGGATGTGGAGCCGGCGGCGGAGCTGAACGACGACTGTAGTGGATGCCGAACCGCTGCCGGGCAGAGGCAGGGGCGACAACACCCTTTGGCGGAGGGGGTCTTTGGAGCCATGACCGCCGAGGAGCCGAGGCGGCCGGTGAGAGCGCCATGCCACAGATGATGGTGGTCGAGTCCGACGGGATCGCCGGCATCGCCAGCGTCGTCTGAGCCAGACGAGGCAGGCGCCACCGAGGTCCGCGAGTGCCGAACGTGTGAGGTGGACGGGGCAGGCGCGGGAAGTAAGTCCTGTAACAAAAAATCAAGAGAATCCGGTTGAGGCGGGAGGCCGCAAACGGAAAGTGAGTCTCATCAAAAACGACGTGTCGCGAGATGATGATCTTGCGAGTGGAGAGGTCAAGACACCGGTAACCCTTCTGTGATGGAGGGTAACCGAGGAAGACACATGCCGTGGAGCGAGGAGACAATTTGTGGCGAGTCGTGGCACTAAGGTTGGGGTAGCATAGGCAGCCAAAAACCCTGAGGATGGAGTAGTCTGGCATCTTGTGGTGGAGGAGATGATATGGTATACCGTTATTTTTGGACGAGGATGGCCGCCGGTTCGTGAGGAACACAGCGGTGGAGAGAGCTTCGATCCAATAGGATGGAGGCATGGCGGCATGAATCAGAAGCGTGCGAACACCATTGTTCAGAGTCCGGAGCATGCGCTCAGCCGTGCCATTCTGAGCGGATGTGTAGGGGCACGAGGTGCGAAGGAGAATGCATGCGCCCGACCAAGAAGGTGGCGGTGGCATTGTTGAGGAACTTGGTGCCATTATCTCGCTCGAAAACAATGGACAACAAAATCTGAATGTGTGTGAGCGTAAGCAACAAATTGAACAATGTGTTCATGAACTTTGATTTATGACGAAGAGGAACACCCAACAATAATGTGTATAAGCATCAACTAACACAAGATAAAATTTATAACCGAAATACTTCAGAATCTGGAGAGGTCCAAACATCACAATGAACAAGTTCAAAAGGTCTTTGATGTACTAGAGACCCGAACTAGCAAAAGGCGCCTAGCATGTTTACCGAAATGGCAAGCATGACAAAGGCGGCGAGTTGCTTTATTATAATCGGATAGCCTGATAGCTTATTTAGAGTAGCGACGACAATGTTAGGGGCAAGATGACCAAAGGCGGAGTGCCACAGACCCGGGGAGACGACAATGACGTGGCGTTGAGGTGGCATGCGATGTGGAATGGTGTAGAGGTCCCCATGGCTATTGCATCAAGGAGGACCTGTCTTGGTCTTGAGATCCTTAATGAGAAAAAACAGAGGCGTCAAACTCAATTGAACAATTATTGTCGCGAGTAAGTCATCGAGCAGATAATGAGTTACGGGTGAGTTATGGAGCGACAAGAACATTATCAAGATGAAAGGAACGATCACTATTTGTAAGGAAGATGTGCCACGACTAAAGACAGAATAGATTGCCGTTACCAACCGTAATGGAGGACGGTAGTGACGGAGACGGAAAGAAGTATACCGTCGTTGGAGGACATGTGGGATGTCGCTCGCTGTCCATGACCTGTGGGGAAGACCTCGAACCGCCATCCGATTGAGGGCGGCAATCAGTGGTCGCGCCCCAGAGCCGTGCCGCACCTAGCAGCGACGCGGTGGAGTATCGGGCCGCGCTGAAAGGCAGGCGCTTGCTGAGGGGGCGGCGGGCGGTGGGAGGAGGCGGATGGCGCGCCACCATCTTCTTCGCCGAGAGGCCACCGGGACGGCCCAAGCGTTATAGTGATCCAAGGACCGGCCGGTGAGGAGCTCGACGTCACCTGAGCGCTCGGTGGGCGCCATCTTCGCTGGTTCGCGCCCGCCTCCGTTGTTGCCGTTGCCGCCACGCCTCCTTTTTTTGCTCCCCTTGCCACCACCCCCACGGTTGGATGGAGGAGGAGTGGGCAGCAGGATGGCGGGCAAGCAAGGTGGAGGAGGCGGCGTCGATGCCGGAAGCCTCCTTGCCCTCGAGCCGGCGAAGCTCCTGACCACGGAGCATGTTGGTGGCGGCCGTGAAGTCCGGAGCGGCGACGTGTTGGCGATGATGTCGACGGTGGTGGCGAAGCGAGGATTGATGCCGCGCAGGAGGTTGAGCACAAGCTGCGCGGGAGAGATGGTGTGATCAACCTCCCCCGCAGGCGTCGCCAGAGATGCTTCATCGCCGGGCGTAGGCATCGACCGAGAGATCACCCTGTAGCATGCTGTGGAACTCCTGCCCGAGGACGACAAAGCGAGGCTCCTTGTTCGCTGAACAGCAGGGCTCGATGGAGACGACAGGCACGCGGCGTCTTGATCGTGCTCCATGGCGAGGTCGAGGACGGTGTCGTCGCAGAGCCGTACATCCACCCACGGATGCAAGCGCCGGCCGAGACCGTGGTGGGGTCGATCGGGCGCGCAGCCTCCGTGCCATCATCGATGTGGCCGAGCAGCCCGTGCATTTGGCGCAGAGGGCGGTGAAGAACGCCCACTTGGAGTAATTGGGGCGCCGAGGTCGAGGGCGATCGGGACGCTTGCCGCTTGACGCGTTTGGCGGCATAGGCGGCGTAGAAGGCAGGGGCGATGCCGTCCCCCATGGCGCCGGAGGTTCCGGAGCCGAGAACACCGGAGGTAGCAGAGGAAGTCGTCGAGGACGTCATGATGAAGTCGACGCGCGCGCTGTTCGCTCGCTAGAAGCGGTGCGGTGGTGGGCAGCTGCTCAGGGCTTTGCGACTCGGTCGGGCGGCAGAGGCGGCGTCGCAGTGACGGAGCTGCAGCCGGTCAAGGTGCAAGGCAAGAAGCCAATGCGCGGCTCGAAAGCGACGCGATGATCGCCATGAATGAGGCGGCAATGCAATGGAATGGAGAAGGCAAGGGCAGCTGGGCCGGAGGGGCGCGCGGGCAGGCGGCGGCAGCCCCTGAGGTGGTGGATGGCAGCGTGCCCTCGAGGAAGGGCACACGGGCAGCGGAAAAGGAAAGGAGAAAGCCCGGGATCAGGCCCCCAGAACTCGTGATACCATGTAGAATAACACCGCACACCCTAATCAGGGGGGGTGGCCTTCATTATATAGCCTAATAGGCTAGGGTTACAATGTACACAGGCCAATGGGCCATACACCCAATATGGGCTGTTATAATTACATTCTAACAGTGACAATTCATCAAGTCCTGGGCTGCAAGCTAATGTTGGGACAAGTGAAATAACAGTGACCAAGCCAAACAACAAAGTCTCTAATAGTTTGCTTGGGCATCATTGTGGATCTGAAAAACCTCCAATGCACTTAGTTGGATTTACAAGAATGAAAAGAAGCAACATGATGAACATATTTCGGTATTGGGAGATGCTGAGTTCTCAATCTCAAAAGTATTCTAACAAAGCTTTAGTTGATGGTCCATTCTTGATAAAGTGTCAACTAACACATTGCTACCTACAGAGTAGGTTTGCTTGCACTTGTTTAGCTCGGGATTTATATGCACTCTTTCATTTGCAATTTATTATAAAAACTAAATGATCTGATTTCATTTTGCAGTGAGAAGGTTTCCCTCATATTTTCCCTTTTGTTGTGGGATATTAGATTCGCAGAAGAAACTTTTGCTGATGGAAATTTTGCCTCATCAGCTTTTTCGTTGAGTGGTATGACATCTGAAAGTCTTTTACAATTTAATTGCTTTCTTTCTGTTTTTGTAGCTCGGATTCTGTCCAAAATTTGTATGTTAAACTTTCCTCTCTTTTTATTCTGGTCAATAGTGAAAATGTCTGATCATAGGCTTCTATGCCTTTTAGATGTGGCCACTAGTTGTCTATGAAGGGTTTGCTTGTCATGTAGCTGTAGCATTCTATCAGTGGCCTGTTATCACGTACATGTTATTACGTAGTTCATGGAAACAAGGTGGACCATTCTGAGAGGGGATGAGCTGGATATTCTTATCTCCTAAATTGAAGACAAGGTGGACCATTCTGAGAGGGGCTGAGCTGGAATTCTTATCTCCTTAATTGAAGAAGTTGTAGCGTGTAGTCTGTAGAAAATGACACAGAAGGTTTTTGGCGCAAGCAAGGATCATGAATTAGATGATGAAACTGGTATACAGCTATCTGTTAAACCTGCAAAACTAAATGAATTTATCACGGCTTGCATTCTGTTGGCTTCAATATGTGTGGAGGTGGGTAGAGTGGACACTGTATTAGAGGTTTCGTACAAAGTTCTTCAGATGGGTAAAAGTAATCTTTTCTGGACTCTGCTTGCTCTCCATGTCTTTGGTTCCATGTTTGGTGATAAGTTTCACCCACCAAAGAGTTGCAACTTTCTCATGACAGCTATACGGTTAGTTGTCCTGCTTCTTGAGAGCAAGGACACTTCTCTGTGCCTTGTGTCATCATATATCCAGTCAAATAAGCCAACAACATTACCATCCTGTGCACATTGCCTGTTTAATGTGGATACGGTTTCCATAGATGGTTTCATCTCTTCACTATTGGATGAGCTGGATTTATGTTCTCTGCAGTGGAATAACCGCGCCTGCTCAAATGAAACTATCGCAAGGTGCAGTTCTCATTTGGGATCAAGTGGACTTGAAACCAGATGTAGTGAAACTTGTAATATCTTCAAGCAAGGAAAACTATCTGAGGATACTCATAACTACCCTGCAGCAATTAACTTATGCTACTTCACCGAGCTAATTTCTTTGCTCGAGCTCTTTGGGATTTATATGGTATGATCATCTGTGATCTCTTCTTAATTTTTTTTCTCTTTGATATTTTTTGTTTTTTCACCAAGTATACATGCATACAAATTTTGATGCGCTAATATAACTTTTTGGGCTGTAAGCCATTGATTCTGACTTTATGCACAGTATCGACTTTGTATATGATCTGTTCCAGTATCGACTGATTATTTTGTCTCCATTTTTAGAGCTGCGAGTGGACATACAACAATGTCGTTGTCCGTCTTCTGGAGATTTTGGAATCATGCATGTGCCATGACTATTCAGCTGCTCTGTTAGTACTTGTCAGCCAACTTGGAAGGTTTGCCCTGTTGCCCATATACTGTCTTGTAATTGAACTGTTCCATGCTTTTCTTTTTGTATTTTATTTTCCAATGCATGAACAGAGAATCTACCACCATAGAATTCTTGATGTGCATGTGTTGTATGTGGCACTCTGTTCTACCTGGAATCCTGTGTAGAAATGAGAGGGTGAGAAGAGAGGGGGATAATGTCGCACACACCTAAAGGGGCTGGGTCCAGGGGGCACCTATATATAGAGAGAGATCAAATAGAATCATACAGGATTACAGTTAGTGCCATATCATGCTATCCATAAGAGGAAGCATATACGGAAGGCCACCAATATAACAAGGAACAAATTCCTGTGCAATCGGAAACAAATCATTCAAATCTCTCATCCTGGATGGAGATTTGGATGAATATGGCCCTAAATTGCTAAACTGGTGTTTTTATAAGAATCTGTTTAGAATAAAATCACTAATCAATCCAACTCCTAAGTTCTAAAAGCTTTTCAACCATGATCTATACTACACACAGCTTTACATGACAGCTAGGTCTTGGTCATTCTACCAGTTATTCCACTGTACAGGCTGATGTAAAGATCATGTAGTATAGCTGTTTGGTAACTTCCTCCCCTGTAGGGCAATTGCAAAATTCCAGATATGTGACTAAAATACCTGGACCTTGGCACATTCTTTGATCTACTTTTTTCCCATTCCTCAAAATTTGATATATTAATTTCCAGTATTTCATCATCCAAGCTAAAACTAACATTCTGTAAAATGTATAGGTCTCTGCCATGAATGTACACTTTGTCGTATGGATCGATACATGTTCATACAGTTCTGATTTCAGTCTCCTTTTATATGTATTTTCATGCAAGTTCCAAGTATATCTTTTGTTCTGACTTGTATTTCTAAATTTGTTCCTGATGCTTATGATCTGCTCCGTTCATGTCCCAATTTATAGGTCCTTTGTCGATGATGTTGGTTATGAGGAGAGAAGTGTTAGTAAGCTGAGGAACAAATTATCATCATTGTTAACAGGGACAAGTTTTACAGAGTCATGGAGTTTAAGTGTTCAGTTTACTGCCATTGGTGCATTGGTCAGCGTCCTTCCACTGCCATTTGACAAAATTGCCACTGAAAGTAGACAATTATCAGGTTCCTTTGTTGTGCAGGTGAAAGAGATTTCTGAATGGTTTGTTCAGTTAAGCAGCGAGCATCAATCTTTAGCTCGTTCCTTTTTTAGCTGAAAGCCTGGCTGGGCCTTACATGGACCAGTGAAGAGCCCTGTGCAATTTTGATGTGTCCCCGCACAGACGTATTCATGGTAACATGACGTTGGATTACTCCCTTGCCTTGACACTGCATAGAGAGGATGATGTTTAGGCCCTGTTCGGCTTACCCCATATTCGGCTTGTTCGACTTCTTTTTTCAGCCGGAACAGTGTTTTTCTCTCACAACAATTCAGCCGGAACAGTGTTTTCAGCCAAGTTTCAGACCTGCGAACGGGGCCTTGGTTCAATGTTATGTTCTTGAGTGTGGAGAAGCAGGTAAGGAACCGAACAGCAAAGTGGAGATGCAAATGCAGGACACCAGAACCAAGAAACAGGATTGCAGATTCTTGCACTGTTGGATGTCAAGCTCGATCAGTACATGAGAAACTATTGAATCAAGGGTTCCGACTGCCAAATGGTGATGATGGTGTGTGGTTTGGATCTCTAGGATCTGACAGGTCTGCAATGTCAAGAATGGTAGTTGGTAGATGAATGAGATCTGGAGTATGTTTAGCTGACAAGATCCTCTCAATCAAGAAGTTGAAGTTTTTATCCAGGTAGCTTGGTCCCATGAGGAACCAACCTTTGGTTTGGTGGTAGGCGAGTCTTGTGTGCCAGTGCTTGTGTGCAAGAAAGTGATCCAAATTTTGATGACGACACCTTGTTGCCATGCTTTGCCCTTTTTCTCTTTCCTCACATTAGAGGATCTGGAGGTAGATGTACTACCTTACCAAATTTATCCAAGAAGAGGCGTTTGCCTATCAACTAGGCCTGTAACATGGCGTTCTCATCATCTATGAATGAAAGCAAATGATTTCTTTGCTTTGGCTTCGTAATGCTATAGTGTGAAGTTCTTCCATAGGTTATAAATGCAAGCATGCTCTAATGGTCTCAGTTGCTATTCGAATGGTTTGGATACATTGGTAGACATTTTTTTTTGACAACATTAGAGGACATTCTTTGGCAGCACTGTTAGGTGCAACGCTATGTTTATTGCCAGGATCTTAAGCTGTAGTGACCAAACGAGGTTAAGTGGCAAAACATTTGTTATTTACCGACTGAAGCTGCTTATTGCAGCGACGAATTAAACTTCGGCGACTTTTGTGCCGGTTTTTTTTTGTTTTTGAGTGGATTGTGCCGCTTCTACCTGGATGGCGGAGAAACCCAAACTTGGAAGCTAGAATTGTCATTGGCCCATCAAATCATAATGAACTGCGTAATCCAGAGCAAGGGTGGGCCAATTTGGTCTATGCTGGCCCAACCCAAATAAAATGTAGGTCAGGCTCGGGTCGGGTCGTGGGCTCGTGGCACCAGCTGCTCAGGACGAGCGAGCGAAAGCGCGAAAAATACCCCCTGCCGCTGACCACCCCCAGGCCCAGTCCCCCACCGGACAGGTGCACGCCGGTCGCCCCGCCGCCACCTGCAACTCTGCAAGCCTATCGGCTATCCGCCGGTGACCCAGCGCTGGGTCCCTCGACCCTCATCAGTCGCCCGCATCCACCAGCCCAGACTGACTAGAAGGCCCTCCCTGTCTCGTTGTTTCTGCTTTGCACACGCACTTGTCCTATCCCCAAACAGCGGCGGCGGCGGCGGCGGCGATGAGTATATCAGGCGAGCTTCCCCGCGAAGGATCTGACGGTGAGGAGGAGGTCTTCATCAACGAGGAGGACATCATCCACGAGATAACCATCGACGATGAAGGTTGATCAGCAGTGCTAGTCTCCCTTCTGCTTACTTACCTGCTTGCTTGCTCCATCGCTGCAGCTGCTGCTTATTCGTGCTTGCCTTACCTTGTCAGATCTCCCCGACCGCGACGAAGAAGATGACGACGTTGGCGACGGGATGGGTACGTAGGGGTGGATTTTGTTTGGTTTATCTGTTTTTTTTTCGTTTATTCGCCAGCTCGGCTAGCCTCTCAGATAGTTCTCGAGGAGATTGAGATAGTTTTTGTTCTGACATAGTTAGTGTGGAGCGATTTTCATATTCTAGTGCTATGTAATGTTCTTGTATGTATCACTTATTCACTTGACGCCTGCATCCTAAGCTTGGCTGTTCAAGGTCTCCAAGGATGCATCAGAATGAGATACAATCAGACAGTGCAACTGGCTGTTCTCTGTATCTATGTCTCGTTAAATAGCGCAGTTAGCTCCATTTGTGTTACATACTTTTGTTAATTTCTTGGTACTAGTTTTTTTCTTTCTCGAAAACGAATTTCTTGGTACCAGTTCCATTTGCATTCTGAAGAATGTTGGCTCTTGTCCTTCTGAAATTTTCGTTTAGAAACCTGCACTCGATGATGTGCTCAGTTGCTCATTTTTCCTGATGTACATTCTAATTAAGTCATCCGGCGATGCTTTGTTATGCAATCTAATGGCTACTTTCGTTTTCCAGTTGACTCAGAAGACGTCGATGATTCTACAGACACATTTCAAGGCCACAAAGGCAAGTTGTTACACAAGAAAAATGAACGCCTTTCTTTGATAACCACGCTAATACTCCTTTTATTGTTCCTTCCATTTTTCTGGGTACAGACGAAGTCTTCACTGTTGCGTGCAGTCCTACAGATGCATCACTTGTGGCTTCTGGAGGCAAAGATGATAGGGGATTTCTGTGGAGGATTGGATCACAAGAGGGTGCCTTGGAGCTGACTGGTATAGTTTTCTTTGTTGATTTTTTTTATTTGTTGGATGGCAATTATTATCGAAATATCTCTGTACTAGCTCTGAGATCTTCGTGTTTTTTGTTTTATATATATGTGAAGTACACCCACTCTTGATTTGTTTGAATTCATGTATGATAATATTTTTTGTTCTCTTCATTAATTATTGTTTATCCCAAACATTACATGAAATGAACTTTGTTCTTGTCCATGTAAATAGTGGTGGTACATGTATCATGTATGGTTTTCTGTATTTGGTACTGTGCTCAAATTTCATGACATCCACATCTTCTCCATGGATGTAATTCACTATCTAATTTCTACGCTTTTCCTGCAGTTTTGCATCTACTGTTAGTCTGTTCTCACGTACTCCATCCGTTCCAAACTATAAGACGTTTTGGCTTTTCTTGGTACATTGCTTTTTCTATGCATCTAGACATAATGTATATCTAAATGCATAGCAAAGACTATGTATCTAAAAAAGTCAAAACGTATTATAAGTTGGAACGGAGGGAGTAGTATTTTTCCATGTTGTTGATGCATGCTCATTATTTTTCCACATTGTTGACTTGCAAGCTCAGGAAATTTACAGAATAGCCGTTCTTGATACAGGACATAAGGATACTGTCGGCGCAGTGGCTTTCAGTTCAGATGGGAATTTGTTGGCTTGTGGAAGTTTTGACGGGCAAATAAATGTGTGGAATACAGCTACACGAACTCTCAAGGGAACCCTTGAGGGTTCTGGAGTCAGGTTTTGAGGTGAGATATTCTGATCTCATTCAATTGAACTTATTCCCATTGTGAAACCCTTCCTTTCCATCACAAAATACATCACTATTCGATGAATAGTCTCATAGTGTGACTTACATGTTTGATTTTGTAGTGGCTTAAATGGCATCCTCGGGGACATTTGATAATCGCAGGATCAGAGGATTGTAATGTATGGATGTGGAATGCTGACCATAGTGCCTTTCTAAATACCTTTGCTGGACATAGTAACACAGTGACATGTGGTGATTTTACTCCAGATGGTACCATCATGACGGTTCCTTGATTTCTATGCATCTGCCTATTTATAAAGTTGTGGTTTGGTCACCTATGTAGGTGTACCTATGAATGCTCTGTTCCTTGTGAAGGTAAACTTATATGTACTGGATCGGATGATGCATCTTTGAGGATATGGGACCCAAGAAGTGCACAAAGCAGACATGTTGTTCGAGGTAAATTGCCACGTATTCCCTCCCTTCCAAATTAGTCCACTTTGGCTTTATCCCAAGTCAAACTTTTTTCAACTTTGACCAAGTTTATAGAAAAATGCATCAACATCTAGAACATCACATGAGTTTCATTAAATTCTCCATGAAATGTGTTTTTGTAGATCATTTATTTGAACTTGTAGACTTGTATTCCCTCCATTCGAAATTATGAGACATTTTTGGCTTTTCTAGATACATAACTTTTGCTATGCATTTAGATATACATTATGTCTAGATACATAGTAATCAATGTATCTAGAAAAGCGAAAACGTCTTATAATTTGGAACGGAGTGAATAGATGTTAATATATATTTTTTTCTAAAAACATAATCAAAGTTAGAGAAGTTTGATTTAGGACAAATTTCATGTGAAAGTATAATTTGGAAAGAGTGAATATGTTGTAATGACCACATAGTTCTAGATGTGCTCAATCAAGCGGACACATGAATTTTGTTTGGTATTTCTGTTTCCCTTATTGTAGGCCATGGCTATCATTCTGATGGCTTGACATGCTTATCAATGACTTCGGATTCACAAACGGTTGTTAGCGGCTCCAAGGACAGTTCTGTGCACATTGTGAATGTAAACTCGGGCCAGGTAGGTGTAGCTTATAGTTCGAGCTGGTCTTTTTTTTTCTCTCCTCCACCATTTCTCCTTTTGATCAATGCTTGGTGTTTTTTCAGGTCGTTGGCTCATTAGTAGGCCACACCAATTCCATTGAGTGCGTTGGTATCTCACCAAGGTAGTGTCTCAAATTAGTTGGCAAATGGCAACACAATTTTGTTACAGAATGTGACTTTCTTGTCTGCAGCTATGGCTGGGTAGCCACAGGGAGCATGGATCCAAAGCTGATCATCTGGGACCTCACGCACCAATCCAGCCGATGCACCTGCGAACATGATGTGGGTCGATTGCTTCTTGTTCCCTCTATGCGCACTTGCGGTTTGCTCGTTCAATCATTCATTCATCCATCCATTCTTCTGCATGCATTATATTGATGCAGGAGGGCGTGACATCACTGGCATGGCTAGGCTCGTCAAGGTACGTTGCGTCAGGATGCATTGACGGCAAGGTGCGCATCTGGGACAGCCTCTCTGGGGACTGCGCCAGGGTGTTGAGTGGGCATGCAGATGTAGTACAGTCGCTGGCCATCACTGCCGACGGCAACACCATGGTCTCCACCTCATCAGATGGCTCCGCCCGTGTGTTTGACATCTCCATGTTCAAGTGAAGGAAACTGCATGGGACGGAGTAGATGGTTGCTGTGTATGCTAGGGCTTGTTTGTGCTGCATGAATGATGATGATGGCTTGTCATGGTGATATGCCACTGTACTCATGGCCTCAACTCAAGGTGTCAAATGCTTGTAGTGGTCCTTATAAATTCATAATATATGTTTGCTGATGTCCTGGTTGTGTGGCTTACTGTGGGGCAGATGGTACTGCTGTGTACTTCCAGGTGAACTTTCTAGTTGATATACATCATGGACATCGTTTCTTGTGGTTCTGAGTTGCAGTGCTCTAAACAACTATTCAACTTGCTGTAGCTTAATTCGAGATTCCGTGTTCCTTATTTCCTCTCTGGATCATTATCAGAGGAAGGAGAAAATTATTAAGATTGGCAGCAGGCTGCAATTAAACGTCTCCATTACCAAATGTTCCTGTGGTGACAAAAAACAAAAAGTGTTCAAAACCATGCCAAAATGTAGTTCAGGCACTCGCTACAAGTGATGTCACTGGGCTGCTGACATGTCAGCTCAACTCCCCCACAGGAAACAGTGACGTTGTAAATCTAGAACTTTGTGATGATCAAGATGATGGACGCAGCGAAGGCGATCAACGAGGTCGTTTGTGGGCTTGTGGCTAGTACTTGCAGTCCGGATCTGACGGAGCCGCGCGCCGCCAGATTTAGTGGACAAGCCCAGTAGTGGCCCATAGGTGCAGATAAACCTCCCTGAAAATGAAATTTAGCTATTAGCAACCCATCTCGGTCCTATATGCACCCTCTTGATCTAATTTGCTGCACCCCCAAAGGCCAAAGCCTAGACAACAACGCAATTGAAATTCGGCAGCCCATAACTTAAGCCCATAAGGAAACAGCCACCGGCCCACCATAAACTCTGGCCGCCTGAACTTCCATGTACATTTTTTTAAACGATAATGATCCAACACGGAGTCCGGACACGGCTCCACAGGAGCGGCCCCATATCTCTCAGAAACAAAAACGATAATGATCCAACACGGTCGTCCGTCCGTGACTCTAGAAAAAAAAACAAATCTCCACTCCATCATATGCTTATCCGCCCGGCCCCGAAGCAGTGTGGCCGCTCAGACCTTCCACTCCCTTCCTCCACAGTGTGCTCGTCGTGCTGCCGCGCCGTGCCATTCCCCCATCGCCGGTCGCGCCGCGCGCTGCTCGCTCCCTCGTTGTCCGTCCGTCGCCATCGCCGTCGGGCGCGCCGCTGGGGCGCACATGCCGTGGCGCCTCAGGTCTTCCCCGACCGAGCCAAGGGCACCCACGAGCGTGGCTGGTTCTGGTGGTGCTCGCGCATCGCCGCTCGCCACCGGATCCCAACCTGACGACTGGAATCGACCGGCCCCGACCTTCTCCTCTCCTTATGTTATAAATGTATGTTTCAAGTATTTCAGAGGTGTGTTACAATTGTTACATATGGATGTTGCAAAAGTAGATCGGGATGTTGCATATTTTTGCAAGTGTTTTCGTGGTATGTTGCAAGCATTTGGGGGAGGAATGTTTCATCTGTTTTCAGACACTTGTTGCAGCAAGTGTTTTATCTAGATGTTGCATATGTTTCACACACATGTTGCAAGTGTTTTATCTGGATGTTGCACATGTTTCCCACATATGTTGCAATATTATGTTTCAAATGTTTCATCTGTGTCCGACGTATGTTGCATCCAAGTGCTTGTTCATATTGCAAGTAGTGTTTCAGGGGCACAATGAGTGATAGGCACACAACCCGGGCGCTGGGGGATGGGGACGCAGTGAGTTGGGTCCCACGAAGAGAGAGAGGAGGGGGTCGGGGAAGGAACGAGGCACAATGGGGGGGGGTGGCGCGGCGAGGTAGGGGCGGGCTGCACGGCTGTCCATCCGGATGCGAGGAGCGGCGGGCGCAGCGTCGAGGGCGAGGTGCACGTGCGAGGCGGACGGAGGGGGGTTGCGTGGGTATTCAGACGCGCGTGTCCGTCGGGATGTTCGGGCGCTAGCCACGCTGTTTTTTAAAAACCATATGGCGGACTTTATTCATTGAAGATGGTTATACATCATTTATCACAAAATCAAGAATAAAGTTAGGGAGCTCACCGTCACAAGTACAATTTTGTTTAGATTGCATAGCTCTCCTTGCCAACTCATATGACGCCTGGTTTGCACCCCTGCTGCAGTGTTGAATTGATATATCCGGAATCCCTCTCCATATTGTGTTGCATTTATCATAAATGCAGCTGTTGACTACTCGGGCACCCGCTGAGAAAATTAGAGCTTTGCCCTTATACAGGCCATGTGGGTCATGAAGTTTTGTCCCAAAATTAAGATTTAAAGACTGTTATAGTATAGTACTATATATCAAATTACAGTATTATTCCGAGTATCTTGGGCTTCTCTCACTTGGAAATTGTTTCTACAAGAGGAACATTCCACCACAATCCACATGCAAAAGCACTGTCAGGCTCTTTTTTGTGGAGAGATGTGCTTTCTGTTTTGACAATTTTAGAATGATGGTTGCTTGTCAAGTTCAGGATGGTTCAACGATTCTCATGTGGAAAGATGTCTGGGACCTAGGATTGTTGGAATTTCGCTTCCCACAATTCTTCTCCTTTGTCAGAGACAAAAACATGTCTGTTACGAAGTTCCTAGCCTCCGACCTGTCCAGTACATTTATCCTACACCGTTGTCTCCGTTGCTTCTGCTCAGCTTCATAAACTCACTGCAGATTTGAATGGCTTGCCTCTAGTTCCTGGGCATTTAGATTCTTGGAAATATATTTGGGTAAATGATATCTTCACCTCCAAGAAGGCCGACAACACCTTGATTGGTACACAACCAGCCTCGCCCATCTTCAAATGGATGTGGAAATCATGTTGTCTCCCTAAACATAAAATTTAATTTTCTTATGGTTGTTGCTCAAGGACAGGCTGGTGCAAACATTTCGGAGACCATGTTCCATCTCTTCTTTACCTGCAGTTTCACCAATTGGTGGTGGCGCTTTGCGCATATTGACTGGGACACCTCGCTGCAGCCTTATGATATGTTCAGTGTGGCAAGGCAGCGTTTTGGCTCCACAATTTTCAGAGAGGTCGTCATTGTGACATGTTGGACTGTTTGGAATCACCGTAATTGAAGCGACCTGATTTCCGCGAAGGGAAATCCACAGAGTCGGAGTGTAATAAGACCGTTATCAGAGTACAAATAGTGCGAAATTACATAAATTATTACATTGCCGTATTGGCGGAATCAAAAGTAGCATTCATTCAGAACAGCTTGAAGATAAGATCGCCAAACTCGAGCGTAGGAACGAACCCCTCAACCGTCAAACTTCTCAGAGCTATACTCCTCAGCAGAACCTGTGTGCCAAAATTTATCAGTACGATTTGTACTGGCCACTCCCACCCTATGAGCATTGCTTTGTGAAAATTGGATACAAGTTGGATATAATCAAAAGGTACCTGTAAGGCTGGAGTTTCCTATGTATTAGCATTTCAAGTATATAATAACAGTTGGTCAAGTTTTAACACCATTCCCACACCCATTCCACCCCATTCCCACTCCAGAGCCAGGTTTCGATCCTGGGATCGATGTACCACTATCTCCACACCATCACCATACCACAACCATACCATCGCTCAGTCGACAGGCCAACTCCCTCTCGACACTGTCTCAAGGCCCGTAGCCCTTGGCTACGTCCGAACACCCACTCCTAGGGGGAGAAAAGAATGACTCATCTCACTATCTAGTTTAAGCGAAACCCAGGAAAGGTCCATAGCCGACAAGTCGGCATATGTATCGATCGATCAACCATACACTCTGCAGAGGTTTTACATAACCACAAGATCCGTCTTCCTCGCTGACCGTCGTCAACTGAGCTGATTCCGACCGCTTGCTAGCCTAGGATAATGTCACTCTACCATTCAGCCCTGGTACACCCCAAGTCTAGTCTGGAGTGGCTGAAACTGTGAGTCATGAGCCGGGTCCACAAGGTCTCCATGAAGTCTCGGAAGGGTGTGGGGGAAATCCTCCACGCCCCGTACCTCCCTCACACTGTCCGCTATCAACCTAACAATAGTGGCAATATCCTACCCAGTAGTCCGGCCGTCCCGCACCATATAGGGCGAGTGGTACGTAAGGCTTCCCGGTGAATCTGAGTACTAGTAAGTCCTTAGGGATGACCAAGCCAGAATGTCTCCATCAGGGTTTCCATTTACCGTGCCACCACAGCACCTCCACCCTGGGCTCCTCCCATCACAGGTTCACACCCAGGGCCACCTCATATACCATTTACCCACCATAGGTATCCATTCCAGGGGTGCCCAGGTAGCACCCCACGGCAAGACTTGCCCCAGGCTCGTCGTATACTCCAACTTGGTCGACACAACCCTCACCCTCCACGCACCCAAGTCACACACGCAGCACTCTCCCCATAGTACAGATAACACCAGTTTTCCACCACGCATCAATGTAGTGCAAGCGTAGTAGAAGTAATAAGCAACGAAATATAGTAGCGAGCGTGTGACTAGCCAAACAGCAGGGTGAGCAGGGGTAAGGTTGCGTCAAGGTAAAGGCCATCAAGAAAGTATACTACCATGCAAGTCCTATCATAGTGTGATCATAACAATAAAGTAAAGCACTAGCATTTCTATTTTAGCCATGCGTAATAGATGCTACGAGATTGGGTGGGATGTGGCACCTTCAGTGTAGTCGTCTCCGTACTCCTCACGGTACTCACGATCCTCGTCCGTCCGGTTCTCCTCCGAGTCTGCAAACGATCACATAATAGTCACGTTAGCGACGTCTATAGAATAGCATAAAGAAGCAATAAAAATTCAAAAGAGTCAAATGCACTCAAACATGGGTTCATTGCGTAGAGCTTGATTTTAGATGAATTTTGGTCCTAGTTTCGTATTTTTCTGAGGTCGTATGAATTAGTTATGAATTTCTGAAGTTTAAATCATTTCTAAAAATGGAAAAGGCTGAATTAATCCTGGGCTGACACGTG